TCTCTCTCCCTCCCTCTCTCTCCCTCTCCATAGAGACGATTGAATTGAATAGAAAATGTAAAGAATGTTATAAATGTATTTAAAATTATTCAATGAATAGATTGTTTATCATAAATAAAAAATATATTTTTGAAATAAAAATTCTTTTTACTAAAAATGATTGAAAAGCAAAATTTCAATTCAGAAAAACAGTACAAAAATTCTTGGAAATGTGCTTTTTGTATAAAACTTAAGGCTTTATAAAATTTTAAAAGAATTTAAACATTTAAACACTTTATATCTGATTAATTCTGTTTACAGAATGTAGTGTCTGTATTAATATATAAAGGTTTATTATATTATACCTTTACTATACCTTTACCTTTATGGTTTAAATATTATGTTCCTAGTATCAATACATCTATAAATCAATATATATTGTATCTTATGAACATAAATCAATAAGTTATTTAAGTCACTTTATAGTTATACGGTGTAGATATAAATACCTAATATGGTAAATCATATCATACATAATTAGCATGATACAGAGCATATAGTCTATTGCCTAAAGAACCATAAACAAATAATTTTAACAAACTTTTCATTTGGAATATCAAATTCACAATTATATTCAATTATCCATAAATTAATTTGTTAATTTATTTATGATGGTAATATTTTATATTTATTGTACTCGAACAATTAATTTATTGATTAAAACAATTAAATCAACAAGAATTTACAACTTGGGCAAACCAGCTACAATATCACCCTCAATACCACCCTCATCATGACCACGGGCGATTTTGAAGTAACCCTTATTACCCCAATCGGGGTTCCATGAGTTGGCCACCAGCCAGTAGTCCACACCCGACTCCACACCCCATCCAATGATCTTCACGGCGTGCAGACCCGCGACATCACCGGTCAGGTGCTTATAAACACCGGACTTGTATTGCAAGAAATCCTCGTAAACCTATCAATCAAGGTACAATTAATAATACAATTAATTAAATACTATTTGTAATTAATATTAAATAAAAATAGTTAAAAATAAATATTATTTTTAAAAAATAAAAAACCTACGGTAAACACGGCGACTACGGGGCCATTGGTCATAATATCAGCCTGCACATCACGATTCCTGTTACTAAAGCTATACTGTTTGCTACCATAATGTTTATCGGACTGATAGGTGCCGTTATAGCCGTCAACGCACGAGTGCTGGCATTTGGGCGTCGGGTCGTAATGTTTATGACAGGGCGGCCGTTGGCCAGTGATGTAATGCTCGCACGAGGCTATAGTGTAGGGTTGACAGCCCTCGTGGGAGTCATACAGACCGCCCGACACCAGACCAGACCTGATATAGTAGCCGTAGGCCGATGCGGGCCAACCACCGCCGCAACCGCCGGCGCCACTACAGGCCACCATATCCTCGCCCGACAGCTCCACCTGTTGTTTGCCCTTCGATGCGATGCACAGC